CTAATTTTTCTATTCATGAAGGTTGATGGCAGACTCGTGCAGGTTCGATAGATACGACTAACATTATATAAATACATCACCTTTACCATCATCTGCATCAAATAAAAACGAAATGCTATGGAACACCTTTTTCCTGGTGTAGACGTCCCTCTGCGTGTTGATAAATCAACAAATATTCTCGAAGTGTTGAAGTTGGCGACCCGTACATTTGATCAAGCAACTATTACACGAGCATCGACTCGCGCATATAAATAATTGAACCATTTGCGTGTGGACTCTGAACCAAATACGAAAGTTCCCAGGGAGAGTGTGTATGATGCAGAAATGTACAGTTCTCCCAAAATGTAATCAAAAGATTTTTTGTATGGAATAAAAAAGCCATTCAACATACTCACATGTGAACATATATATCATCGCGATTGTATCGCAAGTTCCATCAACCTGTCCGAGACCCGCAAGAAAGAAGTAGAGTCTACGGTTGATAGCATGTCCGAAAGTCAGAATATCAGCGATTTGATGGATATATCACAATAGCTATTTAAGGACTTACCTATTAGTGAATCCACCAATAATTATCTCAAATCATGCTAAACCACTCGATAGAGAAAATCATTGAATCTGAAAGACTTATTGATGAATTGATGTCTAGCAATAACCTTCACAAGTTACTGAAGAGAGTAACCCAGGAGGAGATACCACTAATTTTATATATTTTTTCAGAAAGATCGATCACGCCGAATCTAGAAATAAAGTTACGAATCAAGAGGTTATCAGTAGTTATTTTGCTTTTGAAGGTGCATTGTATAAACGGTATAAAGAGTATAAAAAAGATAATGGTAAAGAAGCATCCAATGCTCTAGTTTATAATGACGTTAGAAAACAAATTCCTGATTGTGGAAGAGAATGGAGAAAGATCAGAAAATGCTAACGGAGATGGGAAATTGGCAAATCAAAAAATAACATTAATTAGATCATTTTCGGTGCGTTCCATTTCAAACTTAAGTGATATTGATTTTGTGATCGGAAGTAAAGATGTGGAGTTACTGCGCCACATTACTGCACTCTCGTGACACGCTATTAATATGGAACACCAAATTCGGT